TTTAGGCCATTCACACTGAGAGTGATTATTGAAATATATGAATTCATAATGTTGCCTATCAAGACCTTGTTTTTATAGATTGTCTCTGTAAATTTCTGCTGTATCACTCTTGGGGTCTTTCTCCTCTTATAGAACCCCCCTCCTCCTTAATATTTCTTGCAGGGCCAGCTTAGTGGTCACATATTCTTTCAGTTTCTGCCAGTCTTGGAAGCTCTGCATCTCTCCATCCATTCTAAATGACAGCCTTCTTGGATAAAGTATTCTTGCCTGCATGTTCTTCTCGTTTAGTACCCTGAATATGTCTTGCCAGGCCTTTCTGGCTTGCCAGGTCTCTGTGGATAGGTATGATGTTATTCTGATGTGCCTCCCTATGTATGTAAGGAATCTCTTCCCCCTAACTGCCCTTAAGATGGTTTCCTTGGTTCTAAGATTTGTGAGTTTTACTATTACATGCCAGGGCCTAGGCCTGTTTTCCTTGATCTTGGGAGGGGTCCTCTCTGCCTCTAGGACACGAATGTTTGTTTCATTCCCCAGATTAGGGAAGTTCTCAGCTACCATTTGCTCAAATATATCTTCTAGTCCTTTCTCTCTCTCTCTCTCTCCACCCCCTCAGGGATCCCAATAATTCTGACATTGGTATGTTTCATGGTGTCACGTATTTCTCTGATTCTATTTTCATGGATTTTGAGTTGTTTTTCCCTGGCCTCCTCTTTTTCCTTCTTGTCTATTAATTGGTCTTCTAGATCACTAATTCGTTCTTCTGCCTCGCTTACCCTAGCTGTTAAATTATCTAGATGAGATTGGATCTCACTGATAGTATTTTTAAGTTCTGCCAGTTCAGCTTTCATTTCTGCCCTTAGAGACTCTATGTTGCCATTAATTGATTTCTCCATTCTAGCTATCATCTTTACAATTGCTACCCTGAATTCCATCTCCAACATCTTGGATATATCTGTATCCATTTGTAAATCTGTGGCATAAATCATAGTCTCTGAGTCTTTCCTATTTTGGAGGTTCCTCCTTCTAGTCATTCTGTTGAAGGGTGGTTGAGGGAATGTATAGAGTCCAAATTATTGACCACAACCCAAGCAAGAGGCATCTGTTTTATAGGGACCTTAGGGTTGCTGGCCTCTTGCTTTCCCAGCCTGTCTTCTGGGGGAGGGGCCTGCCACTGTTAGGCAACCCTATTTGGGCAGAGTTGCCCTGCACCCTGTGGTGGGGGATGGGCTCAGTGAAAACCATTTTTTGGGGGCTTTTGTTCTCTGGCAGCTTTCCCTGGTGGCTTTCAGCATCTCTTCCAAGAGTCAGAGCGAAGAGATTGTTTCCAACCCTCTGCCTCAGAGCAGAGAGATTGCAGTCTGTTCTTCAGTGAGCTCTCCAAGCCACACTATCTCTGTTTCTGTCTATGCTGCTATAAACTGCAGCGTCCTGGGTTGTGCGCCCCTCAGCAGGGCTCCCAGTCCTTGCCTCCAGGTCAGGCATGTCTCTGCCCTTTGTGCTTCTAAAACCACCAGCTACCCCCAGTTCACAGGCATGGCCCTGCCCGCTCTAGGTTTCAGTTGGGGCCGGGGGGGGGGGGCTGCCCTAAAGTCCTTTCCCTGTTGTTACCAGTCTGCGAGTCTTTGCCCGGTCCCCAGAGCCAGAGGCTATCACTCACCGGTGGTGCAGGATCCCCATGGCTCCCTCGCCTTTCCGTTTATCTTCTGATATGTGCCTATGGAATCACAGCTCCCTGCTTCATACCTCGAAACCAACTTCTTGCAATATTCTGTTTGTAGGGATCCAGATCTATCTTCTTACATCTCAGGCTGATTTTGTGGGTGTTCAGAGTGGTCTGGTAGATATCCAGCTTACTTCCATGGACCGGTTGGAATAGGGTCCTCTACTCCTCTGCCATCTTTTCCTCCCATGTGTCGTTTGTTTCTAAATGGATATTCAATTGACTTAGTATTATTTGTTGAAAAGACCATCCTTTCCTCATTAGACTGTAGTGATAGTTTTGTCATAAATCAAGTAACTGTATATATATGTATACATATATATGTGTATGTATATATGTATGTGTGTGTATATACATTATATACAAAATATATGTATATGTATTTATATACACATATATTTATATATATATATATATATACACACTATATATATGTTCATTTCTGAACTCTTCATACTATTCCATTGGTCTGTCTGTGTTTGTGCTAGTATAACACTATTTTAATTATTCTTGACATCTGATATTGTAAGTCCTCTGGCTTTGTTCTTCATCTTCAATATTGCATAGGTCCTTTGCAACTTGTCAATTTTCATCAAAAAACCTGCTAAGATTTTGACTGGAATTACACTGAATCTATAGAACAACTTTGATGTAATGGATTTTAAAATAAATATTGAGTATTTTAATCCACAAATATGATAGATCTTAAAGAGAATCCACTTTTAATATCTCTTCTAGTGGTTATAACCATACATCTAAATAATGTATTTATATGAATTTATTAATCATTATTTATTGATTTCCTAGTATCATAGTTAAGGATTTTGTTCACTTTAGTGTGCTCATGCTTTTCTCTATTTCCTGAACATATAAAATATAATAACTGCTTTAATGTGCTTGTCTGCTAGTTATATCATCTGTGTGTTTTCTGGGTCTATTCTATTAGTGGAAAATTTTTTCTTTATTTTGGATTATATTCTGCTTCTTTGCCTGCCTGAAAAATTTTGATTAGATGCCAGACATCATGAATTTCACCACATTTCACATGATTGCTGGGTATTTTTTGTTACTTTTAAATATTCTTGAGTCTTATTTTGGGATTCAGTTAAATTACTTGGAAATAGTCTGAGTTTTTGAGGCTTGCTTTTAATCTGTGTTAGGCAGATTAAGTCTAGGCAGCCTTTCGTCTAGAGCTGATTTTTCCTCACTGCTATGATAAAATCCTTCTGAGTACTCTATCCTATGACCTATGTATTATGGGGTTTGTGGGAACACAAGCTCTTCCAACCTATGTGAAGCCTGGGGATTATTCTGCCTGCTCTCTTCTGGTGATTCTTTCCCCAGCTTCACGTGGACTCATCACATGCATGTAGTGATCAATAATCACCTGAAGCCTGGAAGAGAGATCTTCAGAGATCTCTCCCTATGCAACAGTTTCCTCTCTGGTACTCTGCTCTGTGATTCATGGTACTTGTTACCTGATATTAATACCTGAATATTTGAATCTTGGAATTATATCTAGATGACTACCTGCCAAGAGATGAAAGTAGCTAAGAAGTTCTCAGGAAGAAACTTCAATATAATATATGCTATGTTTGGCTTTAATAAATATTCATACTATATTTGTGAATGTATACATATGGCGAGTATGAATCTTAAACTAGTGAGGCTCATTGTCCCAGCCTGCCTGCTTCTTTCATTTGTTTGAGTCTATGGTTTTTGTACTCTTCTGGAGCAGGTAGCTTTTGATGAGGCCAGGAGCCTCTGTTCCCAGGATCGAATACACATGCAGTCCTTATCTTTGGGACCTTGTATCTCCCCAGAAGCTGCCAGAAGCAGGGAATACGTACCCACAGCTCTAGGACCCAATTTGTCTATCATCCCCGCTTGTCAAGTGAAACCTCTTCCCCAGTCTTCTTGCCTTCAAGTACTTGCTTCCTTAATTCCCTGCTTTCTCTCCCTGTCCAGGCTGCACCCTCCTCAGCTTTGTGTCTTCACTAAATATATGGAAGGAAATAAGTTACCTTGCTATCTGATTGGAGTGGGGGAGAGAATAAAGTTACCACTGGGTAACACTGGGTACTACCAGTGTTTTCATCTCTACCAATCTAATAGACCAAATGTGATAACTCTTGCTTGAATAATTTGCTTTTTTCTGATTAGTGGTGAAGTTAAGCATTTCTTTTCATATGTTTGTAGTTCATTGATATTCTTCTGAGCATTTCTTTTCATACATTTATAGTTCATTTATATTTAATCTTCTGAGAAAGATTCCTTGTTTATTTTTCTTTGAATTTTATTTCTCCCCTTAGTTTTATTCACTATTTCTGTATTTTTTTTTAATTATACATATTGGAAACACTTTTACTCTGCCATTTGCCTTAAACTTTGTTCACATTTTTCTAACTATGCAGAAGTTTTAAATTTTGATGGGACCAAAACCATCCATATCATGTTTTCTGTGTTTTATGGAAAGACTAAAATTTAAAGTAAAACTCCAGAAGTCAAGAAGATGAAGAGAATAAGTTTTATTGTGATGAGAAAAATACTATGCTATAAGAGAAAAGGGAAAATTAGAAATAGTAAGCCATTTAAAAGAAGAAATGGAGTTCAAAGGATTGGATTAAAAAGTAGTAAGAAAGGCAGATAAACTAAGAATAATTGCTATATACATAAATAAGTTAAATTCTAAAATTAAAAGATTTGGGGAATAATTATGAACCAGTGCCAAAAAATAGCAACAATTAGCCATTAATTGATAAAGAACAAATTCCTGTGGGTCTAAAAGAAAAGTGAACTAGATGGTTATAATCCTGAGTTTAATATTTTTTGTAGAGGCAAAAAGGGTAATATATTTGAGCCATATATATATACACACATATATATATTGCATGTATATATATGAGATATCTCATATGAGATGATAGGCGGATTTTGTCAGAATTTGATATGATCCACTTACCATTAAATTACAGTCTGCCTGAAAGTTTTTCATTTTTCTACATATTAGCAAAACAAAGGCATTATACTGATTAATAATTGTCTGTTAAATGTTTTCATTAGAAAGAAAATTCTACTTGCTCTTTGAGTCTTATGCAACTTCTATCACATCACATTGGTTAATATGCATTGTCAAATTTTGGATCTAGCACAATATAATATCATTTGTAAGCATAGTGTGTTGTGGTTTTATTTTATTAATCATGCAGAATTATTAAAATGGTATAATTGATTAAAATGGTGACTATTGCAAATACTTGTTCTATTTTCTTTTTTTCAGATTTCGTGAGTCATTGGAAAGTGATACTATTGTGGTTCATGCCATACAAAGTGATCACAAGATATCCTCCTATAGGCTTGTGAAGCCGTCTAAGTATTCCAAGTCCAAACGAACAAGTCTATCAGACAGAAGAACAAGCAAATTGGAGAGGTTAGAAAAAGAGGGAGCTGGAAGAAAGGATAGCCAGAAAGATACAGGTAGGCTAAATAACAAAAAGGCTTTTAAATCCTTACTTATTAAGGTTTCAAAACTGAATTTTCTTTTTGTAGGCAGTACCTTTGAACCCTTTTTGATGGCTTGAGCTCCATCTCTTGTCTCTCTTAATTTATTCCTTTGGAATAAAAATCAAGAGAGATGGCGTGTGTGGTATGGCTGAGAATGGGAAGCCATGTTCCTCCAGCAAATGCTCCACACCATCTCTTAAATGCAGGCTGCTAAAGAAAACCCACCCTGGTTATGTGACTGAGTGGGTTAGAGTACTTGATGCTGCTAATTTTTTACTTCCAACATCGAACTATTCTTAAATTTAGGCTTTCTTGGTTGCTCGTTTCTGGGCAGTGTTTCCTTGCAGATTCTTAGGCCCTACCCCAGAATGTGGGGATAGAACATGACATTTCAAACTATTTTCCAAGAGCATATGCTTTAAACAGAATGATGAGCTGAGAATTCAGGTGTGAAAAGAGTACCTCTTAATCTCTGCAACCTGTCTCTCATAACTGCCCACAGGATGACTGTAGATGAGTAGGAGGAAGGCAAGAATTCTGGGAATGACTTGGAGGGCCCAATCAAAAATAAATAAAGGACAGCACAGTTAGTGCTCATGATATAGTACTGACATTAATGCTGCTTTATCCTCTTCATTGAGAAAACTTTCATGGCTCCTTTCAGATAAATTCTGTAATTGTTTTCCTGGTATTTAATCTGTCCACAGTATATCCCTATTCTGTTTCCTATTAATAGTGCATTTTCATTCTGTTCTACTGGTATTTTTAGCTTATTGTCTTGCTCACTGCTCCCTAATTATGCCTGATACTTTTATACCCAGGTTCCTACTGGAGTGACTAATTCATTCCCCTCCTCTCTGAATTTTAACAGTTCTTAGAGATTCCAGATTGAATTACACTTTTGTTATAAAGTATGACCACCCAAGCCACATTAAACTCCTGCTTTTCCATATTCACATATATTTGAAATATGAAAGGTGAAATTATGAGTTATAACTATATGACCATCCCATATTATTATTTAACTTTTTTTCCAAAGTATATCTCTAAAGTATATCTCTCTGTAGCTTGAACATACAGTAAGAAATTGCCTCAGCAGATATGTAATTCTTAAACCACAGGTTTGTTTGCATGTTTCTGACCAGTTTTTCAATTGGCCACAGACCACTGCAGTCGGTATGTATCATCTCAAATATACATGTCAAATAGGACTCGCTTGCTTTCCCTACCATATCACAAATATTCCTACCCAACTTCTCAGTTTGTATGTCAGTGGCTCCTCATTACTTATCTTGTTTTCTAATTATTTTATATATGTCTTGCCAACTTTTCAATAAGGTCCTTTAGAGCAAATCCTATGACTTAGATCTCTTTATTTTGGTGTTCTAAAATACTTATTATGGGGTTAAATTCATGTTAGTTGTTTAACAAATACTGTGATTTACAGATTCATTATATTCTGTTTTTTAAAACATGACAGGTTTAAAAAAATATTTGAGAATTTCATTTTGATGTTTCAAGAAGATTGAAAAAAAAAAATGTTGACTCTCTATACAGGTGGGAGCATTGGTGTGCCAGAAGAATCAATTATAGAGAAAGGGAAGAAATTTCGGCCTAAAACCCTAAGTGAAATTATGGTGGAAAATCAAATTGAGAAAACAAAGAAACTTATATTAAAAGCTGAAAGGGCCCAACTTAAGATTCAGCAGCGAAAAAAAGAATGGGATGAACTGTAAGTGAGTGTGTTTTTGTTTTCTTTCTTTCTTTTTTTTACCTAAACTTTTTCATTTTAATATGTTTCAAAATATCTTTGAAATAGAAACAGAGATGGAGTATTGAAGATCTTTTAGAGTAGTGATACCTTGGTGGAACTTCTATGATCCTTAGGGTTTTGGGCCCAGGAATTCCATTTTGTGAATACAATCAGGGATTTTTAAGGATTAAGAAATTCCTATCTATTCTAACATAAAGTTATTTTTCTTTATGTTCTAATATCTTACAGTTTGGACTTTTACCTTTAGGTCTCTCATCATCTAAAGTTGACTTTTAAAAACCCTGATATGAGGTACTTTTATTTAACAAGTACTTTTTTTATTTGTTTTATTTGCCACCTATAGGTATGTTTGGTGAAATGTCTCTTCATGTCTTTTGCCCATGTTCAAATAAGATTGTTTGCTATTTTGCTGTTAAGTTCTGAGAGTTCTTTATATGTTCTAGATACCAGTCCTTTGTTGGTTGTGTGATTTTCAAATATTTTCTCCCAGTCTGTAGCTTGTCTTTTCATTCCTTTAATAGGGTCTCTTGCAGATAAAAGTTTTTAATTGTGTTAAACCCAATTTGTCAATTTTTCCTTCTATCAGTCTTGTTTTTGGTGTCGAGTCTAAGAACTCTGCCTAGCCCTAGTCCCCAATGATTTTCTCCTATTTTTTTTTTCTGAAAGTTTTATAGTTTTACATTTTACATTTAAGTCTACGATCTATTTGGTATTCATTTTTGTATAAGGTGTGAGATTTAGGCATTTTTTGTTTTTGCCTGTGGATTTACAATTGATCTAGCACCATTTATTAAAAAGGCTCTCTCTCCTCCACTGAATTGGTTTTGCAATTTTCACCTTTGTCAGAAATCATTGGGGCATATTTGTGTGTGTCTATTTCTGAGTTCATGTTCTGTTCCATTGATCTATGTGTCTGTCACTTTGCTGAAAACACACTGCCTTGATTACTGTAGCAATGTAATAGATCTTGAAATTGGTCCTCTCATTGTATTCTTTTTTTTTCCCCAAATTGTTTAACCATTCTAGTTACCTTGCCTTTCTATATAAACTTTAGAATACTTTTGTCTGGGGCGCCTGGGTGGCTCAGTTGGTTAAGCAGCTGCCTTCGGCTCAGGTCATGATCCCAGGGTCCTGGGATCGAGCCCCACATCGGGCTCCCTGCTCAGTGGGGAGCCTGCTTCTCCCTCTCACACTCCTTCTGCCTGCCGCTCCCCCTGCTTGTGTTCCCTCTCTCTCTGTCTCTCTGTCAAATAAATAAATAAAATCTTAAAAAAAAAAAAAAGAATACTTTTGTCTGTATTTACAAGTAAAATCTTGCTGGAATTCTGATAGAAATTGTGTTAAAGCTGTGTATCAGTTTGGGGAGGGGGAATTGACATTTATTATGTTGAATCTTCTAACCCATGGACATAGTATGATTCTCCATTTATTTAGATCTTCTTTGATTTCTTTCATCAGTGTTTTGTTTTCAGTGTAAAAGTCCTACACATATTTTGTTCGAATTAGACATAAATGTTTCACTTTTTTGGCAATGTAAATGATATTGTGCTTTTAATTTTGGTATCTTATGTGTTCATGTTCATTGTTAGTATAGAAATACAATTGATTTTTTTGTATGTTTATCTCGTATCCTGTGGCCTTGCTGAACTGTTATTTTCTGAGAGTTTTTTAGTAGGTTTCTTAGGATTTTCTGTGTGGACAATCTTGTCATCTGTAAATAGGGACAGTTTTATTTTGTATCCAATTTGTTTGTGTCTTATTTCCCTTATTTTCTTGTTGGGCTGGCTAGAATTTCCAATATAGTGTTGAAATAGAATGGGACATCTACAACTTGTTCCTGATCTTAAGGAGAAAGAATTCAGTATTTGAATGGTATATTGGTTTTCATTCTTTTACTTCAACCTGCCTATATTATTATGTTTGAAGTTGATGTTTTATTGACAGTATACAGTGGGGTTATGTTTTTTAATCCACTCTGTTAATCTCAATTCTTCAGTTGGTAGATTTAGACCATATCACTTACATAATTTACACATGGATTTACTTATATATTTACACATGTAATTATTGATATTTCAGGCTTATATCTGCTATTTTATATTTTTCTGTTGTCTGTATTTTTTATTAGTTTCAGAGGTAGAATTTAGTGATTCATCAGTTGCATATAACACCCAGTGCACATTACATCACATGCCCTCCTTAATGCCATTCACCCAATTATCCCTTCCCCCCACCAACCTCCCCTCCAGCAACCCTCAGTTTGTTTCCTGGAGTTGAGTGTCTCTTATGGTTTTCTTCCCTCTCAATTTCCATCTTATTTTATTTTTCCTTCCCTTCCCCTATGTTCATCTGTTTTCTTTCTTAAATTCCACATAAGTGTAATCATATGGTATTTATCTTTCTCCAACTGACTTATTTTGCTTAGTATAATACCCTCTAGTTCCATCTACATCATTGCAAAATATGGAAAGAGCCCGGATGTCCATCGACAGATATATGGATAAAGAAGATGTGGTATATATATATAATGGAATATTACTCAGTGATCAAAAAGAATGTTCTCTGTGGTTTTTTTGTTTTTATTTTTTCATGATTTCCTGTGGCTTACTTGAATATTTTAGAGTTCCAATATGATTATAGTGTTTTTGAGAGTATCCCTTTGTACAGTATTTTTAGCATTTTCTCTAGGTATTATATTATGTATACACAACTTATACAGTCTACTGGTGTTGATGTTTTATCAGCTTGAATGAAATGTAAAAAACTTACCTGCCTTCAAGTCCCTTTACACCCCTCACTGCCTCTTATTTCCCTTGTTTATAGTATAATTGTATATTTTCTCTACATACATTTCAGACATTGTTATAGTTTTTTTAATCATCAAACATAACTTAGACAATAGTAAAAGTAAGATGTATTTGCCAATATTTTTACTATTAAACATTTTAATCTCTTCCTTCTTGATGTTCCAAAGTTCCTTCTTCTATAATTTCATTTCTGCTTAGAAAACTTCCTTTAGCCATTGTTTTAGGGTTGGTATGTGGTGATAAATTCTTAGCTTTCCCTCACCTAAGAATGGCTTGATTTCTCCTTCATTCTGGGAGGATAGTCTTACTAGACATAAAATTCTGTGTTGACATTTCTCTTTTTCAACATGTGGAAAATATTGTTCTTCTTTCTGCTGGCCTCCATGGTTTCTTATGATCAATCTTCTGCCATTCAAATTGCTTCCTCCCTATATGTAAGGTGTTATTTTTGTCTTGCTGCTTTCAAGATTTTTTTTTTTTGTCCTTAGTTTTCAGAAGTTTGACTATAATGTGTCTTGGTAAATCTTTGAATTTATTCTTTTTGGGAATTCATTAAACTTCTTGAATCTGTATACTTGTATCTCTGGCCAAATTTGGGAAGTTTTCAGCTGTTATTTCTTTTCTTTTCTTTCTTTTCTTTTTTTCTTTTTTTCTTTCTTTCAGTCCTGTCCTCCTTTTCCTTTCCTTCTTGGATTCCAGTGACACAAATGTTAGATCTCTGAGGCTCTGTGTGGAGATTTTTAAAAAAAATTTTATTATTTGTTTGTAGTGTATTTTTTTGTTATTCAGATTGGATAATTTCTATTGTTCTATCTTCAAATTAATGATTCTTTGTCTCCTCCATTCTGGTGTTGACCCCATCTATTAAGTTTTACTTTGATTACTGTAGTTTTCAGCTCTAAAATTTCCATTTGGTTTTTCTTTGTATCTTCCATTTCTTTCTGAGACTCTATTTTTCCATTTGTTTCAAGCACCTTTCTAATTGTTTTTTGAAGCACTTTATAATGGCTGCTTTAAAATTGTTGTCAGATTATTCTAACATCTCTATCATCTTGGGATTGGCAACTGACAATCATCTTTTCTTATTCAAGTTGAGGTCATCCTGATTCTTGGTATGACAAATGATTTTTTATTGAAATCTGTACATTTGGGGCATTATGAGACTCTGAATCTTATATATACATTCAGTTTTAGCTGTCTTTCTCTGATTTGAGCAAGATAAGAAGGAATGCCACCTCATGGGTATAGAAGTCCAGGTTACCCATTTTTTCCCCAGTTGACACCTGAGGAAGGAAGGGGCACTTGCTGGTCAGCAGTTGGAGTTCTGGATCCCTACTAGGCTGCTCTGATATCACTTTGCTCTCTAGTTGTCTTCCATTGATGTTGTGGAGGATGGTCAAGGTCTTCACTTTCCACTAGGCTTCCTCAAACACTACCCCAGCAAGGAGGGGTTGATCACCTTGTTACTACTGGGCAAGGCTTAGATGTCCAGGCTCCCTATGGACTCTCCACTGTAACTGTGGTAGGGAGGCTTGTTACCACACACTGGGGAGGAAGCCCTGGTCCCCAGGGCTCACCTCCTTTAACACCATCCCTGTAGGGGTTGTGTTGCCTTGTTAAAGTCTGCTGGTGGTAAAAGTATAGACTCCCCACTTGACCTTTGCAGGCTGGGTGAAGGTTGGGCCACATTTGTGTGTGTGTGTGTGTGTGTGTATCTGTGCACACATGTGCATGCGTGCTGCATGGCTAGAGTAGAGCGTTTATTATCTAAAAAGTTTTCTGTATTATTAGTCTCTTTTCTTGATCCTTTAGCTAGAAAGAGCAAGATTTTGTTGGGCTTTTATTGTCTAAACCCTTTGGTATTTCTAGTTGCCATTTTCTTTAACTCCATGCCTGAGATATATGAGGTAATAAGAAAGTCTAGAGATTTTACCATCATATACTCCCTCAGGTCCCAAGGTTCTTTGTGGTCTATCTTCTTCTTTTCACCTTTCATTATATGTACAACATGAAGGGTTGTATATATAATGTTTAGGGGTTTTATTTGTACTTGCCAGGAAGATTTGAATACATAAGTCTATTCCCTTTTTCAGAAGTGGAAACTCTTTCCATTGATTTTATTATATTTACCTTTAATCTGGTGTTTTTTTT